CACGTCCACGACGATGGCGTGGAATTCGCGGAGGAAGCCTCGGTCTCCATCCAGGAACAGCTTGATCAGCTCAGCCGGTAGGTCGTCCGGCCCGACGGCCTTCCTGTTGGCCATTCCCCGCACCGCCTCCTCAACCTCGAATAGAGACGGGATGTCGTCGAGCGGAACGCACGTGGGCCACTGCTTGACTCTGTCGGTCGCATGCAGGTCGATGGTCGGCGACTTGGTGTTAAGGAGCTTGTGGAACCACCGCTCCCACCGCTGGCGGGTAAGCGTGGGGTCCCGAAGGACCTTACCGTCCTCGTCCTTGATGTTCTGGGAGGTAAGTTCTGTAGTAGGTGGGTGTGAAGGCACAGCAACCTGACCGTGAGGACCCCAAAACGCCGGTAAAAAGACAACTGACAGAACCTACACAAGGCTACTGTCCACAACCACCTCCTGCCGTTGTCTTCATCACAACCGCCCACACGATCTCGGTGGGGAAAAAAAATCTGTCAGAGCTACAGCGGCATTGGTGGCCCTGTGTAAGGCCATAGCGTGCCAAGGATTTGGCCGAGACCGAAGTTGGGCAGGATCCCGGCACTATTCAGGGAAAAAGACGACTTGGAATTTTCATTATCTTGGCTCACAAAATTTTCATTGGCCTCGGGCGGCCTGCCTTGTTAATACGGCCTTCTACAGCGACCACTACTGCTGTTGTACTGTCCACAGCTATCAACTATTTAGTGTTCACTCACTGCTTGAAATCCACCCCGCGACCCAAAGCAATCTTCGATAAAAAACAAAGATGCTACTGTAATGTAGTCGAACGGTGGGACGGACGTGCAGTTCAGTTTTTGGGCACGCATACGGTGCTGCAGGGATTTTTAGGTGTACCTCTTCGGGCTCTTGCATACCTTTTTCTCGTCAGATGTGTGCGTGTTCTTTAGATCCTCAGATGGCTCTAGCACTTTCGTGACCACGGGCTGAGAGTCTTTTGCTAGATTTTGGCATTTAGCAACTGATATACGGTTTAATGTGAAGACAAACAACAACAACAACAACCCAAGACTGAAGACTTCGCTTGTTGTCCGCTTCTTATCCCCACCTAATTCAAGTTGGAAACATTACAAATAAATTGACGATCTCCTGTCCCAACCTCTAGGTAAAGCAACTGTACTTTCGCATCTGACACCAAACAGGAATTTGTGTCTATCTTCATACACACAAGGAATCATCAACCATTCAAGTTTTGTTCGGCGTACAACAAAGAAAAACGACATAAAGCTGCATGCAACAGCAGGAACTGCTTTGTAAAATGTATCGGATATCAGAACATTTCAACGCAGCAAACCTGCAAAATGCAGCAGCACACTCGGGGCAAAAGTAGTAACAAAGTCGGACCCCAGCAACCTAAATAAGGCTGCCCACACACACACACACACGGTTAGCGCGGTCGATGGCAATAATTAAGACACGCAACACAAGTACACGATACTTCGAGAATTCTTTTGCGTGTCGCTACACAATCAAACCCGTTACACCAGAAACCAGAGTAGTACCGCAGGCGACATAACGGAGATTACCACCTCCCCTGCACCCATTTTCAATGCTCGA